TTGACTCCACTCTTATCATAGGAGTCGAGGTACAAAGGACCCGACTACCATTGGAGGACCCACTATGTAGCGGTAACAGAATAGCATAATTTAGATATCAAAATCAGAATATCCACTACCAATGGAGGACCCATTGTGTAGTGGCCAGAAATCACAGAATAATGGTTCTCATATACCAGAGTCAGAATTATTCATTTATTAGAATCCCAGAGTCATGTCACAGTATCGCAAAATGATCATATCAGTATCACATAATAACAATATCAATATCGCCTTTTAACAATATCAATGTCACGGAATATTTGTATTAGGGTCACAGTATAATAGAGTATCACAAAATAATAGTACCAGTGTCATACATTATGAGAGTCACAGAAATCTTAGTATTGATGTCACGATTTTTCTGAAATTCAGGCAGTGACATTTAATCAAAAAAAGGTTATAACTTTCAGTTCACTTGGAATTCGAAGATAGTTTTAAGATGAATTTATATTAGACTTAGCTATCTTTCAAATAGGGGTAGTTTGAAGACCATTAGGCCCCATTTTTCCCCTTAAGGGGTTCAAAGAAGTGAGGGTCAATCAGCAGCACCCTGCTGGGTACAGTGGGCAGCGATGTACCCTATTTTCAAATACTATAACTTTCAAACAATGGGACAACTTGTGACGGTTTCAAAATCAATTTTCAAGACAAAACACGTATCTTTCTAACAAGACCAATTTGAAAGAAATCAGATTCCATTTGGTAGTTCAAAAATTCATGCCAAACAAGGTCATAGTTCAGAATTTTTGTCAATACTTCTCACAGCAACATACCTTCATAAAATAAAGTATAACTTTCAATCTAAGGAGAATTTCAAAATAATTTCTACATACAACTTTAGCCCATTCGACGATATTTCAAATGGCTGTAGTTTGGCCAAAATTGAACCTCTTTTGGTTAGTTAAAATTGGCGCCTACAGTGGTGTTAATGAAAGAAATCTAGAAAACAGTCAATAATAGTATACCTCCTTACTTTGAAGCATAACTTCTTTTTTGTAGAGAATTTGAATAATGGGTAAAGACAAAGGTCTTACTAGAGTCACGTATCTTTCTAAAGGTGGAAATTTGAGGTCAATCAGACCCCATTTGACCATTCAAAACTCTCTCCCAAAAACTCGCATATTCCTGGAATTTCACAGTACCATGTAACATATTTCAAAAACACATTCCATGACTTACATTCCATGGTGAAGAACATGATAATAATTCTTTCCTCACAATGTACATACATAACATACATTTCTTGCAAAATCTAAGAATCATACATTCATTTACATTCACCATAATCATAGAGCAAAAATCCTCAAATTCTAGTGAAAAAGCCGTAAGGTTTTTCTACATCATATACATTCACATTGCTCAAACTAAATGCTTACAATTTCATGCATTCTCATAACTAGCCTACAAGGGTAATGGATCCACTTACCTAAAATAACAAAGGCCTTTTCCAATTCTCAGCTCACAGCTCTCTCACCCGCTCAACAGTGGGTAGCCTCCACAGTCACCTCTTCACTTGTGTCATAGAGAGAGAGGGAAATAGGGGAGAAGTGCGTGGCGTGGGTGAGAGGAATGGCTTAAGTACTCAAAGCTTTGGGGGGGGGGTGGTCCAAGTGTCATCAAAGGGCTTAAAATCTGGACAAGTGGCACTTACATCAGTATACGTCTAACAAGTGGCACTCTCAAACCATACATGTCAGAACTCAGCCGGCGTTGGACTCTCATCTCAACAGGTGTTGGGCTTCTCTTCTTCCCAAACGGTGTTGCTCTCTTCTTCCCAATCGATGCTGGGTTCTCTTCTTCCCAGCCGGCGCTGGGTTCTCTTCTTCCCAACCGGCGCTGCTCTCTTCTTCCCAACCAGTGCTAGGTTCTCCTCTTCTCAACTGGCGCTGGGTTCTCTTCTTATCTCAGCCGGCGCTACTCTTTCTTCAACCCAGCCGGCGCTATGCCTTCTAGGTCCCAGCCGGTGCTAGCACTACGTGGTCCTTACACCAAGGCTGCTAGGAGTTTAGGATTTCGTAGCTAAAGTCAAGATTTTCCAAGGACTAGTGTTAGGGTTAGGCAATTAAGGTATCCTCAAAACATTGTAATGGATCTTCCCTTTGTGGGGGTTAAAAATGAGAGTTTTATAAACAAACAATCACCTAAAAATTGTAAAAGGCGATCGTCTGGATCAATTGGGAGTTGACAATATTCGTGCTACAAATTCCGACGTAGATCCGATGTACGGTGCACCTTAGGTCACGTTAGCATAGATTTATTCGGGATTGCAATTTTAATCTCCCTATTTCATGTCATAATTCATGCAGTATGGCAATTTTATCATGTCAACATTCCATCTTAACATGCAATTTTGAGGGGCTGAACTAACTAATATGGGATTTTATGGGACTCTAAGGAATCTTGAGAATATACTAGGTTGGATCATGGTTTGGACATGACTATGGTTATAAAATCATGTGGTTTATTAGGCTAGTGTGGTCCCTAGGGCTTCTGTAATGCTTCTATTGTGCATTGGTAGAACTAAATGTTAATTCCAAATATGGGGATTGTAGCATTAAATAATCAATTAAAGTGCACGTCCAAACTGGTCATGAGATGCAATTTTGGTTTTGGAAATTGTACAAGAATATATTCTTATCTCTAATTATAAAATTTTAAACTTCATTCAAATCGAGCAAATCTATAAACACATGAAAATCTTGAAAAAGGGTAGTCTTAGATAATGTGTCGCAAGATGTATTATATTTTAGACCTTTTTTGTTTTTTTGAATGTTAATAGTGACTTTCATTAAAATAAAGAGCATAGCTCAATATTACAATAGCAATAAGAGATGAAGAAATAAAGAGACTAAGCTCTCAACTCCGTAAAGAGACCTATCCTAAACCATCAAACAATTACAACAATCAACACCAAAGGACCCAAATTCACTAGTAACTTTAGTAACCAAACTAATCTAAACGAAACTGCTTCCACAGGCGACAGTCTCCCCAGCATCTCAGTCAAACCAAACCACAAATCAAAACTCTCGATAGAGAACAACCAATTTGTCAATAACCTCACAAGCCGGGGTTGGAAGAAAGCGCTAATCTACACAGGATTACGGTGCCCATAAGGATATCGTTCGGAACTTGGCAGCGCCGCTGTGGGGGTTGGGGCACAACCAGCTATCAAAAAATAGGGCTAAAAGGGGTAAGAAAGAGGTGGCAGAGTAGAAAAGCTAAAAAGAAAGGAACCTAGGGAATAACTACAAGAGAACATAGATAAATGCTGAGGCACAACGAAAGAGGAGACAAACTCAATGTCAAGATGATCAATTACATATTTTTCCAACATCAAAACAACTTTTTCCGAAGGGTTTTAGAGGTGCACCTTAATTCTATATTTTAAGATGCCAACCTTATATAATTTTTCCTTCCCATTTTTTTTTTTTTATATATATATATATATATATCACCTTTTTAGACTACATAGTGCACCTCTTTTTTTTTTTAGGAAGTTGGTCCCTATGTTGAACATGATACGTATTCAAAGTCTTTAGGTCCTAAACATACTCCTAAATCAGGTTTTGCCCGAGGAAGCAAATGGACAACTTCTCCCATGGGGCAAGGAATCATTCCAGTTGTCAACAAAAATTTATATGGGAATAACACTTGAAATAGGATCCCATCAAACAACTTTTTGTTAAAACATGGGTTCACCAAATACATTTTTCACTTGAAAATAATGGGTCTAGAATTTCGAACCCATTCTTGACTTGAAAAAAATAAAAAAGGTCTTGAGTGTACGTATAAAAGATATGAAATCATTTTTAATTGGAAAATTGTTTGGTGCATCCAATTACCATGCAGGCTCCGAGATCTACACCTACACCTCCCACCAAAATTGGGTCCCATAAGTAATAGTCCTCCAAAATGGTTCAAATATGTTCTCCAAAAAAATATCATTTCTAATTTTTTAAATTTATGTATTTTTATAGATTAATATTCTCCATGTTAAATCAAATTCAGTAATAAATTACCGCATCTCTACATGTGAACAAATTCAATAATAAATTACCGCATCTCTCCATGCGAACTCACAGAAACCGTGTCATTATGAGAACATATAGATTTAATGTTAATTTACCTTGCCAAAAGATTTCATGCGCCCTAGGGAGCACATTGTCTATTTAGTCCCTGAAGTAAAACCAAATTTAAGAGCATTTTTGGGACCATAAAATTTGGGAACATAATATTCTCGTCTAATAGGCCAAACTCAATAAAAAGAATAAAAAATTCTAATTGAATTTTCTACGGGCATGAAAGGAAAAATTATGCCTCAAGATCAAAAAGAAATGTTTAACATGAGATCCAAGTGTTAAAAACTCGAAATTTAAATTTCTTCTTTTTAATTTAATCATCTAGTAAGTTTATGTGGTTCCCAAATTTTCAGAAAAAAAAAAATCTTCCCAAGCAAGCTTTTGCCCACGGGAGCAAGTTCTTGATATATGCCCGCGTGGGAGAAGAGTATACAATCTCATTTCCCCTTATGTTCAAAAGTCTCCCCCAGTTTTTCCACCTTACGAACCGACCAGCCTCAAATTCCGTTACACCCCTCTTTTAGACCTTGTTTAAGGTTTTGATGGAGTTTTTCTTTTTTAGTCCTGCAAAACTATATAAACTAGCTCCATGGTTTTTGTATACTATAATACCATTTATTTTTAGAATACAGAGTTCACAACTAATCCTAGCTAACAAATGTCAAATTGGATAGCTTAAACTATGTCACATAATTTGGAAAAAACTTTTCTTTGAACTCCGACACATACTCAACCTTCAAGTTTCAAATCTAACCAGAAATGACTATGACCCACCTGTACAACAGATAAATGATCTTATTGCAAATATTTCCACAGATTTATCCAGTCCTCAGATAAATTCTAAAAATTATCAACGAATTTTAGAAGTCCCTCGCAATCTTAAGAAATGGTAATTAGGGATATAAAGCAAAATTACCAATTTAACTTACACATAAGGACATCAGTATTCAGTACTACAACAAAGAGGAAGATAGAGTTAAAACTGCTCATATCAGCGAAAGCAAGGTGTGAGGCAGACTTAAATTTAATTGGCATATGCCACTTTCTTAATAAGAGCAGCAACCCAAAGGGCATACCCCAAATTGATAACTTGGAAAAAATAAACAAATCCAATAAATTCCAACATCAAAAATTGGTCCTGGCCCAATCCAAAAATTCCTCCATTGCAGCCACCCAACCTAGGTATTCGAGGGTCCCATCTTCTCAACAATAAATAGTCAGGAATTTACTTTCCTACTTCTTGTCTGGATGCCTCGTGTTCTATTTACCTCATTATTCTCCTGACTTGCCTTTTGTGGTGTTCGAACTCTTTGAGAGTTCTTTGCACTAGCCTCAACTAGAGAGGCATTCGTTTCCAGTAACTCTTCAGGAACGCCACCATCCCTCTGGTCAAGCCTTGTTAGACTCGATAAGGAATTGATTTCGCCACAAGTCTCTCTTCTTTGTTCTGGTTCTTCACCACCAGTTTCATTTGGTTTTTCTTCCATGCCTCCACTGGTTGTAGGCATCTGGCAAGCCATGGAAGGCATGGGATGGGACACACTAGGAGAGACTGTTTTGCCAGGCGGTAACAGTTTTGCATTGCGCAAGGCCACGCGAGCATTCTCAAACCACTTGGAAACCTGCATGTATATATGCTTCAATCAGGATTCGGTGTAGTTTTTGCGAAGTGAAAGTTTTAAAAGGTATTAAAGCATGCAGCTATGGAAAAATACAGACCTGCTTGAATGTGATACCAAGCTCTTCAGCCAACTTCGCTCTTGTTTCTTTTGTGGGATACATATTTTCTTTAAAGGAGTTATGGAGGCTCTGCAGAAACAAACCTAGATCAGTCAGTACGGAAATGACATCATCAAACCTACGCATAACAGTATGAAGCAAAACAACAGCAAACATAATGAATCTTCCAGGCAGCTCCAATGATTACACAGTGCAAACGATTAATCAGGCCTAGTTGGATTATTTATTTTCAACTTTTTAGGAACCACAATGGAGGTTTGGAGGTAATAATCCATCATCAGTATGCACATGATTATCAACAAAAATTAACTTGAGACATCAAGTGAGTTCTAGAATAAAATCATCAGGATGGCTCGGCTCTCGAGGGAAGGAATTCAATTGACCAATATTGCATAAACAAGACATCAACTTCTTGAATGTACAGTCATGCATGAAAACATCTTTTTTTTTATATACATCTGTCCAGCCGAGCACAACAATAAATAGTCTCATAAACCTTCATGTAAACAGCCCCACTATCGGAAACTTGCTAAACAAAGCCTACACCATAAATTATATAAAGTGCGGAAATTATATGATCGATAAATGAACATGTCATAGTCAAACAAAATGCACAGCAGGCCAAAAGCTTGACCAAGTAGCATCATAAGTAAATTCACCATTTCAAATAGCTGCTTGCTATCTTGTGTGTGTGCCGGCACCGCCAATCTTCTCGTCCTCCACCTTCTGTAGAACTGGCTCGACCACGTGACCATCTATCCCGAAGTCAGTCCAGACTTGACCCTTCTCAGATCAAGTATAGTAATCCATCAGTGCATCCTCTTCAAGCCGCCCCGGTCCCATATCATCAATCGCAGGTGGCCTATTCAACCCCTATTCCAACTCAATACCCTCGAGTCAGCCGTATCAATCGGCTCCATACCCTCCGACCGCACCACCGGCCATTAGTCATCCTTAGCCAGGATATCTTGTGCAACAGACCCAGCTGTCCATTTTCTGTCGTTGGCACCGGCTTTCCAGCCCCCAGCTCCTCCAATCCAGATCGCTTCTCTGACCTACCCATCCGGCTCAATGAGCGTACTCGAGCCACACCTCCAGCGGTTGGGAACTTTATGCATTGGTAGAAAGTGAAAGCATGACAAGATTTTCATGTAGCCATGGCCTACCAATGAGTAGGTTGAAGAAGGGTTCAATGTCAAGGACATAGAACCTTACTATTCTGACAGTTGGCCCAATCTTAAGAGTGCGAGGGATGATCCCTAAGGTTTTTCTCTGGGCCCCCTCATAGGCTGCAACTAAATTTTTATAGCCTCAAGGTCTATATGTGATAACCCAACTCTTAGAATAGTTTTCAAAGGGTAGATATTCAAAGACGCCCCATTGTCAACCATCACTTTCTTGATCTCATAACTGCTCATGCAAAACGGTGATATAAAGCGGATGAGTGTGGAAACGGTCGAACCCTGGATGTATATCATCATCAATGAATGGGATGGGGGTCGGTGACATTAAGAGGTTGAACCCACTGCTCAGCTCTTTAAGTCTAGTATGGGTAGGGACATGAGTCATCCCCAATATTTTCTCGATTTGGGCCTGGTGAACGGGTGAGTTCTTCAGTAAATCCATCATAGAAATGGATGCTTGATTTGGGCTTGGTGAACGGGTGAGTTCTTCAGTAAATCCATGATAGAAATGGATGCTAGAATTTTACTAAGATGAATTGGCAAGTTGTACCGTGTGATAGGCTCCACTGTGTCCGTTTATTGTTCCTTTGTTGTTTCATTGGGCACGTTGGGATTTTGATTAGGTTTGGGGAGATTCCCAAACCTTTCTTCCAGATGTCAGCCATCAATCGAGGTGGCTTGAAGTGGCTTCCTCTCCTCGTGAGGTGGTCAACCTCTTGAGGGGTTTTTATTGGGCACAAAGACGATGCCTGGTTTAGCATTTTTTGGATTTTCAACTTTCTCATCTTGTGGAGTGTAGGCCCGGTTAATTGAAATCATGTTTATGCATGAATCTCGGTTGACTATGGCACCTTTGCTTTTGAAGATGACGTTATCCCAAGGGGAAACTGGGAGGTTTCCTTGGATATCTTAAGGTTTTGAACTTTAAAGTCTCCCCTGAATGGCTTATCTTCAAGCTAGGTCCAGCCTCCTTAGGGGGTTCGATTTCAGCTTTCTTGCCATTATACGGAAGCAGATTGGCAAATATTCCTATCTTCTGATTACCATCGGTGCATCGGTGGGAGAGCGGTTGATAACACCACTATCTCGGAGTTCCTAGATAGTACGCTTCAGGTTATAGCAGTCTTCAGTGCTATGGGTGTGGTTTCTATGGTATCCACACCATTTGGACTTGTCTTTAACCTCATACTTTGGTTGAACAAGTTCTGGAAGAAAAATGAGCCCTGCTCACAGGATCTTAGTTAATATCGTTCGTGCAGTGCTGGAAGGTTAACTTCCGGAAAGCACCTCTTGTTTTCAGTGTTTGCATTGAAGTTATTGGTCCTACAGGTACCCTTAGGCTGATTATTAGTCTTTTGAGCCTGGGGCGGAACCGGTGCCACGACAATCTGGCCTACATGGGCAGTAGTATTGTTCTTTTTGTTGCCATTGTTATAATTGCCCCTTGGTTTAGCTTGTGACATACGACCACTGTCGGGTTCTCAGACTTTGCACTGGCAGCGGCGACCTTCGACGTTTCATAGAAAGCTACTTGATCAATCATCTGTTGAAATGAGAAAGGTCGCAACTCGTGGTTGAAGAAGTTCATGTACTATGGCAGGGAACTCAACAGGCACATACTCATCTGAGAGGGCACGAGTAGTGCGTAATCAATGACCTTTGATGTGGATTCCTGAAATCGATTAGCCAAGTTGGGGAACGACTCGCCAACGTTTTGTTTCGTTGCAACCAACTCTTCGAGGGTCATTGGTTGTTGGTTGGCCCTTTGATATTGTTTGACGAATTGCCGAAATAATTCATCAAGAGTCTGCTCAGGGTACTTAGAAATTACTTCTCGGAACCACGTTACAGGTGGTCCGAAAAGAGTGAACTGAAACATCGCCTTGAGGAGACGTGGTTTCTCTTCCAATGCTGGAACAATTAACAGGTAAACGATGACGTGATTATCAAGGTCACCCTTCCCACTGAACTTGTTTTCAAACTTTGGGAACACGAAACACAGAGAAGGGGTTAGACATCCCTGAGAACATCCTTGACATAAGATCATGGAGAGAGTATATTCGAAACTCCCATCTTAGCCAGGGTTTCTTCAAATGTAGTTAGTTCGCCTTTCAGTTGGGCAAATTCAACTGCCTCAAAGGTTTTAACCTCGAGGGCCTGTTGGTTGCCCATAATTGATGGCACAATTTGTGGTGCAGGAGATGCAGCTAATATGGGTTGCACCAAACTAGAAGCAGGCTAAGCCTGCGAGATGGCTAGAGTCGTGTTAAGTGCCGACTCAAGCGAGGAAGCTTGAGCCGGTGCGTTCGGAGCCTAGTATGGAATTAGTGCAGGTGGAGGTGCCACTCATAACTACAATCCTGGACGCACAAAGGGCGAACTCCTTACAAGCCTTAGCCGTTCTCCTAGAGGCCGATTTCACTCTATGAGCCCATCAATCCATGTTAAACAATTCCCATCTTCACCATGACATAGAAACCTTGTGTATATCACAAATTCTTTGGTAAGTGTGAGAGCGCCTTCTGCCACGATTGAGTCATAAACATTTATGGGACCTAAGAAGGACTTCAAAATTCCTTCCTTTTCCACCCCTAAGAATGCCTCCAATCCCACCTAGTCCCAGATAACTTATTAGTGTCCATTAAATTTGGATCTAAGATAGCCACTTTGGCCTCACAATCTCTATCACGAAGAAGCTTGCGAAAAGCTGCCAACATGGTGATATTAAACTCAAGTTAAGACAATGCCTAGGAGATAAACTTGTTTCCACCTAGGGTGGGGGTATTTTGGTCAATTTATTTTTTGTAAATTATATTTTAATATATTTATTAGGCTTGCCTATTTTTTAAGAGTAAACGCTAAAAATTTAAGTGAATTGAATGTAAAAAAAAATTTAAAATTAAAATTCGAATACAAAATGCAATCGTCAACATTGGATCGGCCCATATTTAATATGGGCCATTGGATGTTTACTGTAGATGTCAGCTAGCATGCTGACCTCAGACTCTCCCATATATATATATATATATATATATATATATATACAGTAGAGAGAGAGAGAGAGAGAGAGAGTAGTTGTTACTTACTACTTACTACTATACTACTACTACTACCTACTACTACGTACGTAGAGTAGACGTAGTATACGTCTACCTACTACTAACTACGTT